TATATATATATATATATCCATTTTTTACCATTTTTTGGTTGAAAATTAGGTAGGGAGGAGAATGAAGCAAGAGCAATTCACAGGAAAACATTATTGGAGGCATCAGCGGAGGAAATTCCTCCAAATACCCTTCATTTTTCTTCAAAACTAGCTTCAGGACAGGATTTTATTCAGACTCTTTTCCCACGCGCTGATTGACGGACGGGTGCACGGAGCGAGTGTTCCAATAAAATAAAATGAGGAGTTTTCTCTCTTTTTTTGGTAATATTAAAATTTCGGGTTCCGAATAAATAATTCTAAGGGGTTTATGGTATTAATAGAGTTATTTCATCTAATTTATTAAAGTCAAATATAAAAAATATGAGTTTGATGAATTTCTAAAATTTTAAATTTGAGGTGAAAATTTTATCAGATACATAAAAATCATAAATTTCATAAATTTATGAAATTTCATATTTAATGTACTAATTTTATTTTCAAATCATGTTAAATTTAGATTTATTCAAATGAGAGATTGACTAAGGTGGTGCATTCATTTGTATAGTTGTTAGAATGATATGATCAATTATCCGGTTTGTCATGCTTAATAAAACAATTGAATGGAAAAAAAAAATGATCATTTATCCAGAAACAACAACAAATCTGCTGTTTTCTAAACGCAAATACCAAACAGTTATATAGCTTATCCAAATCAAGGGCAAAATGATCATTTATCCAGAAACAACTGCAAATCAGTTGTTTTTCAAACGCACAAAATCGCACAAACCAAATAGCTAGCCAGCTTATCCGATGATGCAGGAGCAGCTGCGAATGGTCCGCGTTGGATTACTAGGGCGTCAGGAGAAATTCCGAAAACGTCAGGTTGCTAAATTTTGTTTCTCCGGCAGTGGTGTTGAGCGCGTTAGAAGGGAAGACGCGAGTCCTAATTCCTAAATCATAGCTGCAACCAAACACCCCATAATCTTGGAAAAAAATAATATATAAGGACTCCGCACGTAGAGTTACGTGCGGAGTCCAATGAAATCACGCCACAAGGGATTATTCCCGATAACGCAGGTAACACATAGGAATATTCCTCCTGTGTTATTCATGTGTTATTGTGTTCTGAGAGTATTCCTGATGTTATATTAACACAAAATAACACACAATAACACTTGAATAATATAGCTTACATTTGCATGTACTTAGCGTTATTTGATTCGACTCCT